CCCCCCCCATTACCCCCCGCGCCCCCACCCCACACCCCTCCCACGCCCCCCGCCGCGGCCCCCCCCGCGCGGCCCGCGGACCTTGCACAGCCCCGCCGCCGGTGTGTGATGGAAGGGGCGCGGGGGCCGCTCGGGGGTCGGGGGGGGGGTCCGGGCCTGGCCTCGCTCCGTCCGCCGCCCTGAACAAAAGAGCCCGGCCAGCGCCGCTGCCCGCCGCGCACACCGCGCATGCGCCGCGCACGCCGCGCGGGGCGCGCCGGGGTTTGTAGTCCCGCGGCGCGCTGGGGAGCGCGGCGATCCCGCGGAGGGGGCGCGGTGCGTGACGGGAGTTGTAGTCCGCGGCGTCCCGTGCGTCGCGCCGCGGGGCATGGTGGGAGGTGTAGTGCGCCGCGGCGCTGCGTGATGGGAGGTGTAGTCCGCTGGAGCCACGCTGTGACTGAATTACACAATTAGGGTAATTAAGGGTGGGAAAAAGAGCTCTGAGGGCATCGAGGCCAAGCTGTGACCCGTCAGCGCCCTGGACGCCAGAGCAGGGCACTGAGTGTCCCGCGCAGCGAGGTGGGCGCTGTGCACCCTGAGATTAGCTCAGTTGGTTGGAGCCCAGTGCTAATAATGCAAACGTTATGGGTTTGATCCCTGTAGGGGCCATTCGCTTATGAGTTGGACTCGATGATCCTTGTGGGTCCCTTCCAATTGAGAATATTCTGTGATAAAAATCACCCGAGCTGTGCCAGCACAGCCAGGCAGGCCGAGCCAGAACAGCTCTGGGTGGGTCGTGCCCACCTCGGTGATAAATAATCTGATTTATTGAATTATCGAGGTTGGAAAAGCCCTCCGTGACCCTCGGGTGCAACCGTTAACCCAGCGCTGCCAACCGATGTCCCCAAGGGGCCACATCCACGTGCTTTCTGAGCACCCCCAGGGGTGGGGGCTCCGCCATTCCCTGGGCGGCCCCTTCCAACGTTTAGCAACCCCTTCCATAAAGAAATTCCTCCTGCTGTCCAGCCTGGCCCTCCCCTGGCACGGCTGGAGGCCTTTCCCTCTCCTCCTGTCCCTCCTTCCCTGGGCTGCGGCTCCCGAACTACAACTGGAGGGCGCTGGGAACTACAACTCCCGTGTCGCCCCGCACCGGAAGTTACCGCCACTTCCGCTCTATAAGCGCGCGCGCCGCCGCCGCCGCTTAAAGGGGCCGCGTCCTGTGCGAGGTGAGGGGGCCCCGAAAAGGGGGGGGGGGGGGGGGCC